TATCCGGTGTTTTGTGTTCGTGTACTTTAATCATGTCGGTTTGTTTTTGTGTCTTGCTTGATATGATGCATGCCACTTTTGTATATAGAATGTTTTTTGTGAAAGTTCATCCTGGATTTGTTCTACTTCTATGCTATAGTGTATACCTTTAATTACAAATATTTTGGCGTTAGGTTTGTTTTCGGTAAATGAAAATGTAAATGAAATTTGTCCTGAATGGAAGGTATCTTGAGGTTATTCTTTAAGAAGGCTGTTTAGGTCAGCTGCCTCTGTCCCTTTGACTGAGACTCCGCCATTAGTTAAACGTTTAATAGCAATAATATTATTGTTTGGTTTGCAGCGCTTGATTTCAGCTGCTAAGTGTGGTTCTTTATATATGTCAGTGACACCTTCGATGATAATAGGGTGTTTAGGTGGTTGTGTGTGTTTTCTGTTGTATATTTCTTATCAATGTATATATTAGTGTTTTGCTTGTCTATGTTGACTGATAGTTTTCTTTGTCTTTTAGAGCTGACCAGTGTAAAACCATTAGTGTCTATGTGTGTTTCTGTTATTTCAATGTATCTGTACTTGTGTATCAATATCCAGGGTGGTATCATTATCTATGTCATTATTAGATGGTTTAGGTTTCTAATTTACTATTTGTTCATTTGTTTCAGGTTGGCTGTTTGTACAATTCAGCCATATCGATAGCCGTCCTTTTATGTTCTTCACCATGTATATAGTGTTTGTTTTGAATTTCGCGCAAAGCTACACGAGGGCTATCTGCGCTAGCCGTTCCTAATTTAGCAGTGTAAGAAAAGAAGGAAGGCAGCTAGTCATCACCACCCACCGCCAACTCTTGGGCTACTCTTTTACCAACGAATAGTGGGATTGACCGTCACATAATAACGCCACCACGGCTGAAAGGGTGAGCATGTTTTGGTGTGACTGGGATTCACACCATGTATATTTGTTTATTACTTCTGGAGAGCTATTTGGGTCCGAAGACACTCTGATTATTTTTATTTTCTTTTTAGTATCTGTTAATTCCTTTTTCAGCTACTAGGACTAAGAAATTAAAGTGAAGATTTAAACCTGGCTTGCTATTTAAGTCACATATACTAGACTTGCATGAATTGTTCTTTGAGGAAGAAGCCATTTCTAATGACGCTGAAGTGATGTTACATTGCGTCTTGGTTGATGTTCTGGTCTTTTTGTCTTTTGAATATTGCTATATGGTTTTCCCCTTGCTGAAATCATCTTCAACGAAAAGTATTGAAGACGTTTTGATGTCGCTGCCTTCTCCGCACTAAGCGGGTCAGGAATGTGCCACTACTGCTAAGTCAGTGGGTTTGATAAATGAGTGTTGTTCCGCAAGACGTGAGAAGAAAAACTTGGATAAATGTTAATAAAGAATAAATTGACATTTCTAAGTGAATTTTTATTTTATTTTTAAATTTAGTTTCTGCGACGTTTCGAGCAGACGTCTTTCGTCAGGCAGTAAAGACCATTGAAAAACGGCTTATACTGCCCGACGAAGAACACTTGCTTGAAACGCCAAAGGAAATAAACTAGAAAAAATTCATTTAGACCTTTCAGTTTATTCTTTATTATCATTTACCCAAGTCGGTTTCATGAACAACCAAGCTCGTCGACATACCGAGGGATGTTGTTTTTTTTAAAGCCAACTCACTGTATGTAACGGTTTTACCATTTTTTTATATATGAAAGTTTGTTAAGGTGCATCTCGTCACCTACGAGTCTTAAATATCCAAAGAAATTGTAGTGCAGTTTTAGAAAATATATATTTGTGCACGATAATGATTTCGTGTTCTAAGTTGCATATTAAAAAAAAATTGAAACACCAACATTGTTTGTTTGTTTTGAATTTCGCGCAAAACTACACGAGGGCTATCTGCGTTAGCCGTCCCTATATTAGCAGTGTTAGACTAGAGGGAAGGCAGTTAGTCATCATCACCCACCGCCAACTCTTGGGCTACTCTTTTACCAATGAATAGTGGGATTGCCCGTCACGTTATAACGCTCCACGGCTAAAAGGGCGAGCATGTTTGGGGGGATGGGAATTCGAACCCGCAGATTGCGAGCCGAACACCCTAACCACCTGGCCATGCTGACCCACCAACATTGTTACAAAATGTGATGCCCCTCCTATCGCATCCAGTCATTCAAAAATGTCAATAGTTCCCTCTGACATTTGCAATTAGATTATTTATAACCAATAGAAAGCAAATATTTCAATTTACTAAATGCATTACGAGAATGGTTCGTTCAGGCGTTGGGTTTGGAAATATTTGGTCTCAGTTTCATTGGTTTCCGTTGTGCGTGAAAAAGTTCTTCTGCTCAGCTGGACCATCTACTATATCCCTGTTATACTACTAATCCTGATGAAACCACAATGGCATAACATTGGTTGAAATAAAAAGAATTTTTAATCCATTTATAGTTTAGGTAGAAAGCCAATGAAATTGTAGTGCAGTTTTAAAACATTATGTTTTTATGCAGGATAATTATTTCGTGTTCCAAGTTTCATATTTGAAAAATATTGATATACCAACATTGTTACAAAAAAGTAGACTTACACTGTTTTGTACTCTCATGGAAAAAAGACAGGAGTGCAAACTATGTACTAAATTTTTTGTTTTGGTTTTTATGAATATTTTTTTATTAATTGCTATAAACGTAACTAAACTATAAAAGCTTATTAGGTTAGATAAGCAAACTCAATTGAAAAAAATATTCATGATCCTCTATCACAGCACATGCTCATCGCAAGACATACACGATAATTATAATATGACCATGACGTGCTTGCAACTCGATCATTTGTTTATACAAAACTGTCCTGCTGTGATAAGTATCTTTCAGCAGTACTCTTAGAGGGTCTAAGTGTAGCTGTAAAGCAATAAAAAAGTAAACGAATGCAGACTTACACAGATGAGTATGAAAGTTTAAATAAAGTTCAATTATCTAAATTGCATCAGTTGATGTTTGTTGATTGTTTAATCTAAGCTTCATTTGAATAATTAGAAGCATTTCCTGCACCTATTGAATAGTCTCGTTTTTTGGCTTTACTAAATACTTTGAACATACTGTTACGACAGCGGAAGTCACGCGACGCTGGAAGCATGCGCGCTGGAGTTTCTAGAAGGGTCATGACTTTTCCTGGCAACTCTAGTCTGTTCCAGGCGCCCTCTTTTTTAGTATATAAGCCCAGCAAATAAAGCGGAGTTATAAATGGCAAATAGATAGATATATATACAGATAATTGAGTCAAGCGAGCGGTAGTAATGGTAATATAAAGTGTGTGTTTTGTTATCGAGATTGCAAACATATTGACTGTGGAAATTCTGTGTATTACAAAGTTGTATCGAGAAAGAATAAACTAGTTTTAATCAAGAAAGGACTTGTTTTGCTGAAGTTTCTCGGAAAGAATTTCTACGGAAATCAACAAACAAGCAGATATGCAACAAACTGGTGTCAGAGAGTGGGACAGAAAAAATAAGAAGATGGAAACGAGAGGTGGCAAATCAAACTACAGCTTAGCAGATTTGATGGCAGCAATAC